CACACACACACACACACACACCCTCTCTCTCAGAAAGATCCGGTTCAATAGTTTCTTTCCTGTGGGCCCCCCCTCCCCCGAAAGCCCCTCACTGAAGTCCACGGTGCTCCTGTGCCTCCGTCTCCTCCCCCTGCACGCTTGGGGGCCCCTCCATGCCTTCGACTTTCGGGGAGCATGGCTTTACACAGGGCCCCTCCTGGAGCCTCAGTGGACAGGAGCAGCAAGGAGGGGGTGTTCTGCAAGGGATTTTAATTACACTCTTTCTCTCTCCACAGCCTTCTGCCCTTGTGGGTGTTCAAGAAAACTGCCCTTCCCCACACGTCCTTCCCCAGGAGAAACCAAGACCCTGTAGGACCCCGTGTCCCCTGCCCCACTCCAGTCATCGCGCTCCGACGCAACTAACACTTGCGTTTCTGCAGCCTGCAGTCTGCTCCCACCCCTGTGACATGTCTGTGTCTGTCTGTCTGCCTGTCTCCGTGCGTGATGACTGTAGTCTTCGTGGCTACTTGTTTGTGGCCGGTGTCGTACTAGTGGCCTGTGAACTCCCTTTCCTGGGCAGCCGCTGCCAGCTCATCCCGGGGCGCCCCTCCCCCATGGCCCCCATCAGCTTCTGCTCTGAGGAGCTGGCTTTTTTGCTGAGAGACTAGTCCCTTTTCATGGCTCGGGGTGGGTGCAGAGGGGAAGGAGACCTAAAGGTCAGTGATCCGAGCCCCCCAGCTGCTCCCCAAAAGGAGGACAATGGATCCATCCGCTCTGACATGCTCGGGGGCAGTTCTACCCTGTCCTGGAGGGTTGCATGCGGTGAGGCAGCCGTGGCCTGGGTTTGGGTAGGGCTGTAGGGCTGGCACCAGGGGCCGCGAGTCTCTATTAACTTGGAGCCTGGGAAGGCTCGCCCCCTTTCGTCATCAGCCCTCCTGGCCTCGCTGCCCTCTCTTAAAGCACCTGCTTCCCTCGTCCTCTCCTGACCCGAGTTTGCTCTGAGGGCCTTGAAGCAAGGGGCAAGAGTCGGGTTGTGGGGGTGTGTCCCAAGGGCAGAAATGTGGACCCTGGCTGTGCCCTCAGGCAGCCTGCCTGCTCCTCCCAAGTTCATTGTCCACCCCAGAGGCCCTGTCTCAGAGTGGCCAGCGATTCCCGGCTCAGGGCTTCAGCTTTGCCCCTGGGGAATGTGCCCCTGGCATATCTTCTCAGCAATAACCCCATGGACCCTGGAACCCAACCCCGCTGGCCGACCATCCCTGCTTCTGAGGAACCTCCCCGCCCCCAGTCCATCGGCCAGCTCAGACTCAGATGCCCATCCTTGAAGCTGGGTCACTTGGCAGGCACTGGTGAAGGGACCCCTTTCTCTGCAAGGCCAGCTGTCAGGGGGTGAGGGTGGTGGTCGCGGGCAGAGCGGTGTGGTCTCTGCATCTCTGCCCATGCCCCAGGGGCTCAGCAGCGCAGCCACTGTCAGGGACCTCACAGTGAAGGGGAGGGAGCAGCAGGAGGTCGTGACCCCAGTGGGAAGCCATGTGAGATCCCCACCCCCACCCGCAGTGTCCATCATGTTCTTGTGGAAACTAACCAAGCCGTGCTGCCGTGACTGGGACTGATGTCCTTTGTATCGTGACCTCTCCCCCAAACAAGGAATAAAGGACCACTGGTTTCCGACTGGCTCAGAGGGCGCCGTGTCCAAGGACTTGGGTATGGTTGGGAAGGTACTATGGCTCTTAGCGCCCCGAGGGGCTCTGCCCTTGGTCAACGGGAGCATGTGAGGATGGCCCAGCCAACTGAGGAGGAGCCGGTTGGCGGATCTGTGTTTCAACTACTTAACCCACTTGTTCTCCTCTCCCTTCCACCTTCCCTAACGCCTCCCCCGCCCCCACCCCTCTCCGGCCCAGGCTCTGGCCTCTAGCAGGACCTGAACGTCTTGCATCACCATGGAGAGGGAGGGCAGGGGGTTACCATGGCAGTTTCATCATGTGGTAGCCACACTGGATTGGGATAAAAGGCTGGAGTGTCCCTCCTGGTCAGTTCTGGGGACACCAACCAAGGACTTGGAAAAGAGGAACATGGGTTGGTCTCGGGCTATGATTAAAGCCCTTTTTTTCCTCCAAACTCAAATACCCCCTCCTCTGTGAAGTCTTCCTGGACTGGCACGATGAGTCGTGTGTGTGTGTGTGTGTGTGTGTGTGTGTGTGTGTGTGTGTGTTTGTGTGTGTGTGTTCCTGGCACGCTCATTCTTGCCTCCTTTCTGGGTGTGTGTGTGTGTGTGTGTGTATGTTCGTGTTCCTGGCACGCTCATTCTTGCCTCCTTTCTGGGTATCTGGGATCCAAGCAATAGCAACCAGGCCAGTGAGCTGTGGTTTGTGAGTAATTGGTTTGCCATTTTAGGGCTAGGGGGCCCTGGGTCACCCAAGTGTCCTCACAGAGACATTTTTCTGTATTTTAAAATGTGTTTTTGGCCAAACACAGCTGTGGGCAGATGGCTTGGAGGCCACCTGTGGGCAGGTCTTTGTCTGCACTGTGGCTGGTCTGCATGTCCATGTCAGGAGACTGAGTTCTTAAAGGGCAAAAAAAACCAAACCCAAACCCAACTCTGACCCTACGGGCGGAACTGCCCCTAGACAGGAGCACCTCTCCCGTTTGCTATTAAGAATAAAACTAATTAAACTATAAAAATAACCATAAAGAAGTCCGAGGGAGGAGTTTCTGTGTTTTCTCATTATAACCATGTTAATAGAGAAAGTTATGCCTAATGCCTACAAAGGGTGCTTCAAAAAGTCTGTGGGAAAACTCCATTATCTTGCAGTTCCTTTTTTTTTTCCATGAGCTTTTTGGAGCCTCTCATATGTAAGGCCCTCATTTGCTCCATTCAAAGTCATTCACTTGGACCCCTGGTGGCACAGTGGATTACACTTAGGGCTTTAACTGCAAGGTTAGCAGTTCTAAACGACCAAGTGGTCCAGGGAAAAAAGATGAGGCTTCTGCTTCCATAGAGAGTTACAGTCTCCAAAACCCCCAGGGGTAGTTCTACATGGTCCTGCTGTGTCACTGAGAGAATGAATTCAGTGGTGGGGAGTTGGGTTGGTTTGGGGGGCAAGCATCCACTGGGGCCTCTGGTGGCATAGTGGGCTAAGGGTGGGGCTGTTGACTGCAGTTCAAACTCACCAGCTGTTCTTTGGGAGAAAGATGAGGCTGTCCACTCCTGTAAAGATGTTCCATCTCAGAAACCCTGCCCCGTGACCTCTAGGGTCACAATGAGTCAGACTCGTGATGGTGTGGAGTATGGTTTCTGTAAAATGTCTATTCTGATTTCCTCCCGGCAGCCCAGACGGGGAGGATCTTCATTTCCGCAGATCCTGCCGGATGAGCTTGTGATTGGTCGAAAGCCACACAGCCCAGAGGTGGAGGCGGCAGAAATGTGAGGCAGGCTGTCCCCGAGACCCTGCCTGGTACACACAGCTGACACACTCGGCTATAGCCCAAAGGCTGGAGGTTCAAGTCCACCCAGGGTCAACTGGGAAGAGGGGGCTGGCCACCAGTGTCCGAGAAATCAGCCACTGAAGCCATCGCCAGTCTCCGTCACTGGTCAAAGGAGAGTGGAGTTGATTGACACCAGTTGGTCTCTTCATCTGTGTCCTGAGCTCTTCGGGGACGTCACACAGCCTTGCCTCTTCCCTCAGCGGAAGGCCGGCCTTCAGAGGAAGGAAGGGACATGACTGTCTGGGTAGGTCACAGCTGGAGCGTGCTGTCCCTGTAGGGCACAGGGTCACCAGTATGTGTTTGGGGCCTGGTTTGCAAAAAGGCACATGACAAAGAACTACTCCCTGTGCTGAGAGGAAGCCCCGGATAAAGTGGGAGAAGGCTGATTACAACCATGAGAGGCCAGGCTTCCTGGGGGTGGAGCCTGGTGGAGCCTCAGACCGTGGCCCCTCGTCACCCGTCAGGTCCGGGACGGAGCTCACCCCTGTATCAAAAGAATTGACCATTGCAGTTCAGTGAGCTAGCACAGAAGGAGGGATGGGAATGGGGGCCCCAAGGAAGAAGCAAACGGGTCAGGGTAGTAGACTTGAGGGGATGGCAACAGGCGAGTTGAAACAAACTGTATGATTGTTGCGTGTGACACGGAATACCTGATCTGTAGACCTTTACCTAACCCACCATAGAGTTCAAAAAAAAAAAAAGGTAAGGGGCATTGGACATAAAACAGTCCTGATGAAAGAATGGGAAAAGCAATACACGTGTTTTCAGCACTTGCTGTGGACCAGACCCGGGACTGTGTGGAGAAGTCAGCAGCCCTGTGCGAGTTCTGTGTTCAGACCAAACCAAGCCCTCTGTCCTGAGTTGATGCTAGCTCACAGTGGCCCGAGAGGACAGAGTAGAACTTGCCCCTAAACTGTCATCCTCATGGCGGCAGGTTGCCACCTCTTACTGCCTAGTGCCTCTTGGTGGGTGGGTTCGGCTCTCCTTTCAGTTAGCACCACCAGAGGCCTCCACCCTATTTTACAGACAAGAGAGGTGAGACTTGGCTGAGTATAGAAAGCCCGGGCCAGCTCCAGGCTGGCTCAGGTCAGGGCTACCAATGGGCACGAGAGGAGCACAGTGTCAATGGAGCTGAGGAAGATGACAGGCTGGTGGGAGGGACTCTGCTGGCAGAAGTCTCTTGACCCCTCTGGTGTGGCGCTGCAGGGCCAGGTGAAGAGCCCAGTAGCCGAGTATGTGTGTCCCCAACACACCATGAAGGCAGGCTCCTGCACAGCCACCCAGCCTTCAGACGGGGCACCCGGTCAGGTGGGCTGTTTCCCCCTGGGCTTAGCACAGCAGATGCTGCTTGCCCGAGGAGAGCCATTTCCCCACCTCCGTCCCCTGGGAGGTTTTCAAGACTGCGCTCCGTGTTTACGCCCCTGGAAATATCGGGCAGCCTGTTCTCTGGGCCCCAAGTCACCGCCCTGCTCTCCCCCCACCTCTCTGGTTCTTTGCAGGTCTCCGGTTGGAACTTGCCAAATTGGTCTTGGAAGAGAGTCAGGCAGCTGGGAGGGAGGGTGGTGGCGAGGGGACTCCAGGCTGAAGAACACCCCAAGGTCACCAGGGGCCTCCCCACTTCCAGCAGCTAGAGGGGCAGCTGGGCAGAGGGCGGGGGAAGTACACTCCAGCTCCTTCTGGTTCCTGACTGCCCAGCCTCCTGTGAATCCGCCAAGGGAGGGTGGTCAGGTGCTTGCCTGAGCCTGGGGAGGGTCTCTGGGAAGACTTGTCTCAGGGCCACAAGAGGTGTTGTGGCCATTAACGTGATTCATTGCTGTCAACAGCTGAGCTCCAGGGGGCAGAATCTGCCAGTTCCAACCGGCCGGCTGTTGACTTTATGGAAGCCAGCCCAGTCCCGTGCCTGGTTGCACAACAGCGGGGACAGCGATGGCTGAGCGGACACTGCAGCGACCAAGGGTCCTGCGGAGCTGGGGGCAGGGTGGGTGGGGCTGCCCAGCCGGAGAGTGGGGTCCAGCCTAGGAGCCAGGTTGGAGGCAGCCTACTGGGGCAGACAGGCTCAGCACAGCTCCAGACACCTCTTTAATTCATCTCTGGCTGTATGAACTGGGTAGAGGGGGCCGTGGTAAACCCACAAACTCCCTTCACTTCCCTCCTTGGCTTCAGGTATTGGCTCAAGCAGGAAGAACCAGGGCTCTGATGTCCTGGGTCTGAGGACGAGCTAGCCCTGGATTCAGCTATGTCACTAGGAAAGCCTTTTAAGCCTTAGCTTCCTCAACTGCAAAATGGGCTTGCAATGGCTACCCTGTTACCGAACAGGATGAATGGACTGACTCACTCAACAGACGTAAGGACACTTGAGAATCCTGCAAAAATGTATAGTATGCTTATCTACCCCACGGCCATCGAGGCAGCCTGTTCTCTGGGCTGACTCAGTGACTCGGGAGGGCAAGGTAGAGCCATTTCTATGGGTTTCCAAGGTCGTAAGTACAGAAGTAGAAAGCCTCGCCTTTCCACCATAGAGAGGCTGGTGGTTTTGAACTGCTGATCTTGTGGTTAACAGCCCGGTGTATAACTCACTAGATCACCAGGGCTCCAATTATATAATATATGGATGTATGAATATGTGTGTGTGTATTACCAGGGCTTTGATTATGTAATATATATATATATATCATCAGCACGCCAATTTTGTAATATATATACACGTGCATATATGTATACATAGATTATATATATAAGTTGTTTCATGTAAATAAATTTATATATACATATATGCACAAATGTACATGTGTATATTACATAATACACACCATTTATTTCCCAAGCATCTTTCTTTGGTAGCAAGGTCCCCCCTTCTATCTGTTAGGCCTGGGTTCAGCTTCTGGCTTGTTCACAGGTCACCTGAGTGGCCTTAAGATGAGCCAGCCACCTGCACCGCCTGGCTCTGAAATGGGTATCACCCAGCCTGCCTGGCAGAGTCGCTGGAAGAGCAAGGCAGGCCAGGGCTGCCCGAGGTCCTGGAGACTTAGGGGCAGGGAGCAGAGCATGTGAAGGGTGGCGTTGTCGAGTGAGACCGCTGGGCAGCAGACTTGGCAGAGACGGAGCCCCGGGTGAGGGTCTGAGTCCTCACCAGGGCTGACCGGGCATTTGGCAATTTGAAATAATTGAGCAGGATGGTTTCAAAGCCATG